CCCTGCCGGCGCCTGCTCCAGCTGCCCAGCCAGGGGGGGAGCTCAGCAAGAGGTGGGTGGGACAGGTCCCCAGGGTCCCTCCACCTCCCTGCCAGGCTCTCCAGCCCCCTCCCCACAGCCTCAGCATCTCCCCCAGCCCACCTACCAGCTCCTCACACTCCGTGTGCTTCAGCCTCCTGGCCACGTCCAAGGCCGTCTCACCCGCCGCGTTCACTGCACAGGGGACCAAAGGGGGTCAAGCTCCAGCTCACAGCCCCTCTGCTCCCACCGCAGAGCCCCCTCCCCACCCCCCCAATCCCCCCCTACCCATGGAGAAGGTGGCTTTGCCCTTCAGGAGCAGCTTGAGGCAGTTGGGCTGGTTGTAGAGCGCGCTGTAGTGCAAAGCCGTGTTCCCGTCCTGGGTCACCCGGTCCAGTGTCCCCCTGCCAAGGGCATTCGAGGCTCAAGAGCACACGAGCAGTGGTCCCCACCCCTTGTGCACGCTCCTCCAGGGGTAGGGGACAGGGCAGGGGACGCTGAGCAGCTGGGAACTCACCCATTCTGGATGATGAAGTCCACCAGGGGAAGGGAGGCTCGGTCGGCGTGGCGCACGGCCACGTGCAGGGCCAGCTCGCCCGTGTCCTGCCATGAGGGAGGGGAGACATGGACCCCAGGGGGCTTCACCTCCCCCAGGATGGAGAGGAGAAGGGAGCTGGACTCGAGGGTGTTCACCCCTCACCCCCTCCCCCAAGATGAAGGGAGGAGAGAGCTGGAGTTGAGGATGCTTCATCTCCCCCAGGATGGAGAGAAAGCTGGACCCAAGGAGCCTTCATCTTCCCCAGGACACAGGGAAAGGAGAAATAAACCTGAGGATGTTCCATCTCCTCCAAGAGGGAGAGGAGAGCTAGACTTGAGGGTGCTTCATCTCCCCCAGGAGGGAGAAGGACCTGAGGACCTTCATCTTCCCACATCTCCACCCAAAGGCCAAGCCAACCCCATGCACAGCACCCAGATGGGGGGGACACCCCCTTATCCCCTGCCCGCTGGTGGGATGGAGGTGGCTGGGGGGGCTCACCTGGCCCTCGGGGGTGGCCAGGGGCTTGGCCAGGTCGTGGCCCTCAGCAAAGGCCTGGAGCAGGCCCAGGAGGTCCCGGGCACGGATGGTGTCCCAGAGGCGCTGGGGCTCCTCGCGCCCGCTCCTCTGCACGTAGCGCCGCTCCATGTACTTGGCCACGATGAACTCCTTGCGGGCAGCCCTGGGGGTGCCACCAGCCTGCCTGAGCACCCAGACC